GGGCCTGTCCCTCCAGAAAAATCGACAAATCGAGCAAAGATAGTCAGAATCAACTTTACCTAACCGCTGGGAAAGAGCTAAAGATTTATCCCAACCACGCCAATGCTCAGTCAGGAAAAAGGCGGTGTGAATGTGGCAGGAAAGCCTTGTGTGTTCCCTGCCCTTCCCTCATCTCCTTGCCCAGCATGGCAGGTCCTGCAGACGGCAGCCTGCGTCCCCGGTTCCGGAGGGAGCAGAAGCCCTCATTCTCACAGTGTCTGTCTGTTCTGACATGTCTGGGGGCTACCTGAGGACGAACTCCAGACACTTGTCTGTTTAGTTCAGAACGTACTCCTAAAAAACAGTGCAAGGCAGCGATTTCCAACCGGTGTGCTGCAAGAATTTTTAAAATATGCAATGCCTGACTATTTAGTCAGGGGCACTGACCTCTTTTCCCTTAGAGCAGTGGTTCTCAACCTTGGCTGCACATTAGAATCACCTGGGAATCTTTAAAATCCTGATTTCTGGGCCTCGTCCTCCGGAGATTCTGTTTCTTTGTTATGGGGTGGGGACACAACATTAGTAACAAAGAAACAGAATTTCCGGAGGATGAGGCCCAGAAGTCAGGATTTTAAAAAGATTCCCAGGTGGTTCTACTGTGCAGCCAGGGTTGAGAACCACTGCCTTAGAGTGTCAAATGAAACCATGACAATAGCCAACACATAATAGCTGTCTGGAGTGCCATTCTGGTTACTAGATGGGATGGGTTGCTGCCTGATTTGTGAATCACTTAATAAAGACAATTAGGTCTTAAAAAAAAATAGCTGCCTTGTGTGATTAAATCAACATTACACCTATTTTTTTGTTGGATCTGCAAAAAATATATTTTTGGTGTGTTTTAGTTTATGTGTGACATAAGATGAAAAAGATTCCAAGAGCATGTGCTGGGGCCAGGGAGAGGTCAATGGGGGGAAAAAAAGGAGACATATGTAATACTTTCAACAATAAAGAATTTAAAATAAGCCCTAGCCGCGTTGGCTCAGTGGACAGAACGTCAACCTGCGGACTAAAGGGTCCCAGGCTGGATTCTGGTCAAGGGCACATGCCCAGGTTGTGGGCTCAATCCCCAGTGGAGAGTGTGCAGGAGGCAGCCAATCAATGATTCTCTCTCATCATTGATGTTTCTATCTCTTGCTCCCTCTTCCTTCCTCTCTGAAATTAATAAAAATATACTTTAAAAAAGAATTTAAAATAAAACAACAACAAAAGATGAAAAGGGTACAAAATCACTGGTATAAGGCAAAAGAAGACCCACAGCCACCTAGGGCAAGATTACAACTGAGAACAATGACAGACAGGCTAGCAGCTGTGAGGAAAAGCTGGGGTGGAAGTTTCTTTGGGTAATTAGAGCATTGAAAAGCACCATATATATTGGGGAATTTAGAAAGCATTGTGCATCCCCAAGGCAGGAAAATGCTCAGAAAGACCTGAAAAGACAAGCTTTCACTCTGGCTAATCTCTAGGTTCCGCACAAACAGGAAGCGAGGGCTGAGGCAGAGCTGGAAATATCCTGGTGAAGCATTAAAACTTCATAGAGCTGCAGAGTGAGAGAGGTTTTTCATTTTTTTTTCTTTCTTCCATTTTCTCTCACAACATATAAAAAATTCATAACTCAACAACAAAAAGAACTCAATTTAAAAATGGACAAAGACTTGAATATACACTTCTCCAAAGAAGATATACAAATGGCCAACAAGCACATGAAAAGATGCTCAACATCACTAGGGAAATGTAAATCAAAACAACATTGAGATACATCTTCGCACCCATTAGGATGGCTATAATAAAAATAAAGTAGAAAATAACGTGTAAAGGACTGGGACCCTCATACATGGTTGGTGGGAATGAAAACGGTGCAGACATTGTGGAAGAGTTTGGCGGTTCCTCAGAAAAGGTAAATGTGGAATTACCATATGATCCAGCAATTCCACTCCTAGGTGTATACCCCAAAGAATTGAAAGCAGATACTTAAACAAATACACACACACACACACACACACACACACACACACACACACACACATTCACAGCAGCATTATCCACAATAGCTAAAATGTCCTTCAGCAGGTGAATGGTTAACCAATTGTGGTGATCCATATAATGGAATACTATTCAGTCATAAAAGGAATTACATACAGATAAATGCTATGAGGATGAACCTTGAAAACATTATGCTAGATGCAATTAGCCAAATGGTCACATATTCCACTTACATGAAAAATCCAGAATCTGTACATTCATATAGGCAGCTTGACAACTGCCAGAAGCTGGGGTGAATGGGGAAATGAGGAGTAACTGCTTAATGGGTACAGGGTTTCCTCTGGGCTGATGTTTTGGAAGTAGGTACAAGTGGAGGTGGCACAACATAATGAATGTACTAAATGTCACTGAGTTATTCCCTGTAAAATGACTTATTTTATGTAATGTGAATTTCATCTCATTACAAAATCCATTGAAAAAGGAATCAGCCCTAGTCAGTTTGGCTTAGTGGATAGAGCGTCAGCCTGCAGACTGAGGGTCCCAGGTTCGATTCCGGTCAAGGGCATATGCCCGGGTTGTGGGCTCGATCCCCAGTGGGGGGTGTGCAGGAGGCAGCCGATCAATGATTCTCTCTCATCATTGATGTTTCTCTCTCTCTCTCTTCCTTCCTCTCAGTAAGTCAATAAAAAAAAATCAATAAAAAATTTTAAAAAAGGAATCAGTGTGCGCTCCTTTTCTCGGGCTTGCACGTTTGCTCTCTTTCTCCTAAACTCTAAAAGCCCCCATGAGACTTGCAACCAGGGCAGCCGTGGGCAGCGACAGCTCGTCCTAGGCGAACCCCGCTGAACCTGTCTCTAAAGCCCCCTTTTCTCTGACTTTTCAGTGAGCGAAAAGCAGTCCCACCTTGGCCCACTTGTGTCACTGACTTTTACTTCTCAGTTATTCCGAAGCCCCGTGTGACTCGCTTCTTCCCTGTGACGTTTCTAGAGTCCAAAGCAGCACGGCCTGGGCTCTCTCCTGTTGCTTCTAAGTCCTTCCTTGGTTTCGGCCTCCAGCTTTGAACATAAAAGAAGGAAAAGGAACCATCCATTCTCCACAACTACTTCAAAATGTTCAAGCAGAGTCTGAATGATAGAAAAACTAGTGAAACAAACAACTGTTCATAAACTGTGACATTACAAAGTGGTATTACTCCACGTTCTTCAAATGCAGGAAGGCGCTGACAGCCAGCAGCTGTATTTAAAGAGTAATTGTCACTATCTGCCAACCTCTCCCCCGTCCTATATGTATATTCAAAATTTCAGCCCTGGCTGGATAGCTCAGTTGGTTAGAGCATCATCCCCATACACCAAGGGGGGTGGGGGGTGGGGGGGCGGGATTCAATGCCCAGTGAGGTCAGGGCACATACAAGAACCAGCCAATGAATGCAAAAATAAGTGGAACAACAAATCAATGTTTCTCTCTCTCTCCCTCTTTAAAACCAGTAAATAAAAGTGAAATTTCTGCCCTAACCTGTTTGGCTCAGTGGATAGAGCGTCGGCCTGCGGACTGAAGGGTCCCAGGTTCGATTCCGGCCAAGGGCATGTACCTTGGTTGCGGGCACATCCCCAGTAGGGGACGTGCAAAAGGCAGCTGATCGATGTTTCTAACTCTCTATCCCTCTCCCTTCCTCTCTGTAAAAAATCAATAAAATATATTTAAAAAAAGAAAATAAAAAAAGGTGAAAGTTTCCGCCTAAACAATTTTTCTAATGTTGAGATGGAACCACCAAGCAGAATCCATTTCTCCCATGACTTCTCTGCTTATCTGTCTGCTTCCCAGAGGGAGGTCGTCTCCGAGTCCTCTAAGCCAGACTGAGGAAGAGATTGAAGGGCTGGATGATAACCTAGACTGTCACAGATATTTATGAGGACCTATGATATACCAAGCACTGAGCCCAATGAGGTGGGCCTCATGTCAGCCCCACTTTACAGCTGAGCCAACTGAGGACCAGCAGGGTGACGGCCGCAAGGGAAGGCGGGGCGTGGTTTGAACTGGGCCCAGGCCCGCACTCTTCGCCTCCTCTCCCCTGTGGACTCGAAAACGGGCCGCCTGAGCCGCTCTGCTGACCTGCTGGCCCCCAAGTCTGAGACCCTCGGGGTGCCCGCTGGGCCAAGTCTATGAACTCTGCAAGGAAAAGCGAGCGCTTGCTCACTGTGGACCAGGCTGCACCTCACTCAGTTCTCATTACCCGCAACTTCCAGGTGAGGAAACGGATAGAGTGACGACGGTTCCAAGGCACAAAAGGAATGAGGAGTCGGGCTTCGAAGCTGAGGCTTTGTTCAGAGACCAGAGATAATATGACACCCCCGTTAATACGGACGATTCTCTGCGCCCCCAGCCCCCCACCCCAGCCGAGCCTTTTCATAGGCGAGCCCTACGGGTCCCTTGCAGGGCCACGCCCGTCCTCTATTTGGCCCCGTTCTAGCCTGACAAGATGGTCCCACGGTCTTCACGCGTGGCCTACTCTGGGGAAACCGCTCAGTGGTTCTCAACCTTCTGGCCCTTTAAATACAGTTCCTCATGTTGTGACCCAATCATAAAATTATCTTCGTTGCTACTATTATGAATCATAATGTAAATATCTGATATGCAGGATGGCCTTAGGTGACCCCTGTGAAAGGGCCCATGGACCGCTAAAGGGGTCGCGACCCACAGGCTGAGAACCGCTGAAGAAGGACCCGACCGCCTCCACTTTAGTTGTCTTAATGTTTGCCTGAGAAGAACGTAATATTGTTACTTATTTTTGTCATTTTCCTTCACCAGCAATTGAAACTGAAAATGGGGGTCTTTTAGAAAAAAAGTCTAGAAGGTTGAATGTTTTCGGGCACACCAGGCATTCATTTGGGCAGCTACACCCTCAGGAGGTCCTACACTCCCAACTCCGCTGGTTTCGCATAACGGGCAGAAGCAGCTACCAATGAGCTCCGCTGAGTGCAGAGGGGGCAGGGCTAGCCCTTAAAGGAGCCACGACCCATTAGGAGACCATAGGATGATCCAGATGATGGCGGCCAGCGCGGCCTTAGCCTTGGCCCTGGGGCTCCTACTGCCATCAGCGGGGGTGAGAGGGGCCGGGCCCCCACCGATACAGGACGGCGAGTTCACATTCCTGCTGCCTGCGGGGAGAAAGCAATGTTTCTACCAGTCCGCGCCGGCCAACGCAAGCCTCGAGACCGAGTACCAGGTAGAGGGACCTGGGCCGGAGAGCGAGCGGGGCCAAGGGGAGAGGGCGTGGCCAAGCAGCTACTGCAAGGCTGGCCTTAAAGAGGAAAGGGGCGGGCGCCTGTGCGTAAGAGCGTGGGGGCGGGATCTTACGAAGGGGACGGGCGCAGCGCGTGGGAGCAGAAGGGGTGGGAGTAAAGGACGGAGGCGGGGCTAGGGGACGACAGCCTGGAGGCGGGCCGTCGGGAAGAATAGCGCCCTTCAGAGGGTCGGGCCCCCGTGGGCGTGACCAAAATGTTGTGGCGGATTGAAGAGGTTGGTGGGCGTGGCTAGGATGCGCTATGAGAAACGGCGAGATCTACATTTTGGGGGGCTTGGGCTAAAGGCTGAACTGGGTCGTCTCCTTTGGGGCATGATCAAGTCAGGGGCGTGGCCAGGCTTGGCCGATGAAGTACTTCCCACGGGGGCGGGGGCGTTGCCAGAGGAAAGAGCTGATCCCAAAGCTGTCATATCGAGGGGGGGCAGAGCCAAGGCAGTGGGCGTGGCCTGGAGGACTGGTGGGGCAGGACCTGGTTGCAGGTGTGGGTGTCAGTCATCGCTCAGGTAGGCTCTTAGCGGTCTGTATGGGTCTGCTCGGTGGTCCAGCCCTGGCCTCCTCTGGCAGGTGTTCTTGGCCTACTTCTAGCCCTCCACCTGCTCTTACCTGCCCCCCAGGTGATCGCAGGTGCTGGGCTGGATGTGGATTTCACGCTGGAGAGCCCTCGGGGTGTGCTGCTGGTCAGTGAGTCCCGCAAGGCAGATGGGGTGCACACGTGAGTTAAGTCCTGCTGCCTGCTGGGGTTCGGTTACAGCCCTGCCCCTCCCCATTGGCCTCCGGTTACCGCCCTGCCTGTTTCTCAAAGTCCGGCTGGCGGCCATTCAGGGTCATGTCTGTGTGTCTGCCTATCTGCCCAGGGTAGAACCCACGGAGGCTGGGGACTACAAGCTGTGCTTCGACAACTCCTTCAGCACAATCTCCGAGAAGCTGGTGTTCTTCGAACTCATCTTTGACAGCCTGCAGGATGATGAGGAGGTCGAAGGCTGGGCAGAGGTCGTGGAGCCTGAGGAGATGCTGGATGTCAAAATGGAGGACATCAAGGTGTGCACAGGTTGAGAAGAGTCCTCCCAGATCTCTGGCATTGCGCTGTGTGCCCCTGCCCTCTAACCTTGGCTGGGGTCCTCCTTGGCCTGGCCCAGCCTTTCCTACCAGTGATGCCCCCAACTTAATTAACAGTAGCAGCTCAGTTAAAAATCATAGCACATTTCTAGGTGTAAATCCTGATTTTAAGGGCTTAAATAACTCATTAAATCTCCATAACCACCCTATGAATTAAGCAGTGTGCTCAAATCATCCCCAATTTTATTGAGGCACAGGATGGCTAAGTAACTGTTATAAGGCCACACAGCTAGCAACTGGCAGCGCCAATATTTGAAACTAGGCAGTCTGGCTTCAGCAAACTGTGCTGTTATCCGCTAGTAAATACATTCATTTTTTTAAAAAAATACATTCTTTACACTTATGTAAGCATTCAGTTCTCACAATTCTGAGGCACTTGAGTCCCAGGGAGTTCATTAACTTGCTCATAGTTTCACAGCCAGTGAATGGCAGAGTGAGGGTTTAGATTCAAGCAGGCAGCCTGGTCAGTCTGTGCTCTCAGCTCTCTCCTTGACCAACAGACTCTCACCCCATTTCCCCGTTTTATCAGTCTCTGCTCCCCAAAGGACAGAGGCCTGACCCTGCTCCCTCCTTGCCCCACAGGAGTCTATCGAGACCATGAGGACACGCCTGGAGCGCAGCATCCAGATGCTGACCCTGCTGCGAGCCTTGGAAGCACGGGACCGCAACCTGCAGGAGGGCAACCTGGAACGGGTCACCTTCTGGTCGGCCGTGAACGTGGCCGTGCTGCTGCTGGTGGCTGTGCTGCAGGTCTGCACACTCAAGCGCTTCTTCCAGGATAAGCGCCCGGTGCCTACGTAGCCCGTCCCTGAAGAACAGGGAAAAGCAACGGCAGCAGGGTGCATGTGTGTGTGACGTAGTTTCCTGTGAGAAGCGAGGCTGTATATTCGGGGCCTGAGGTGTGGCCCGTGTCTTCCCTTCCAGGCCAGAATACTGGCTGGCTTGCAGGCCTGGGCCATCCAGAAGGGGTAGCTCAGTGACTGCATCTGCTTTCCTGGAAATTGTGCGTGGGGGGCACTGCAGCATTTGAATGCAACCCTGGGATTTTCTGGCCCCGCCTGTCCCCTGAATGTGCCTTAGCCTGAGCCTTCCAGTTGCACCACCACTGCCTGGTGCAGAATGGGATCCAGGAAGCTAACTTTTTCTTCCCTCCCGCACTGGCCCTATGAGCCAGGACATGGAGGGAGGAAGCTTGCTGCTCACGGAACCCCATGCCTTCCTTCCCCTTCTTGTCGCTCCACCTGGGGCCTGTTGCTGCTGCTGAGAAGGACTGTTCATGCCGGAGCTGGGAAGGAGACTCAGCTTGCAGTGTTCTTGCCAGGACAGTCGCTTTATTGACAGGAAGGAGCCGGCCCCTTGGCCCAGCAGGGGCTAGGTGTGAGGTCTGGTAACAGAATTCCAGGAGCGGGGCTTGCAAGTCCTTCTGCCCCTCCTACTCTCCCTGCAGGGGCCCCAGACAGGGCTGAGGGGTAGCCTGACCGAAGCCCATACAGGAGCCTCACAGAACAAAGGGTGGTTTGGCCTGGGGACTGGAGCCAATAAATTATGATCAGAAAATCACACAGCCTGGTGATTGGGGCTCAGGGACACCGGCCAGGACAGACCTGCCCCCAAGAGGGCAGCCAGGCAGGCGGGAGGGGTCTCTCACGAAGCTCAGAAGAAGGGTCTGGCGGGAGCCGATGGAGGTGGTCGCCTGGGCATAAGAGAAAAATCAGAAAGCAAAGTTTAACTGTGTCCCCGGCTGGGCCAGAAGGCCTGGGGCCCCAAGAAGGGGGAGAGGGGGCCTGGGGGAAGTGCTCAGGACTTCAGGGCAGAGTGCCTGACCACGGCAGTTTGGGGTGGAAGGCCAGGATTCCTTCTCCCATCAGGGATCTGGATGCCCGCTCCAGGCCTCAGTGTGGTGGGGGGGAGGGGGGGTATTTTCCTCCAGTCCTGAGATGTTATGGGTAGTAAAAGCTCTCCCCTCTAGAGCACGAATTCCTCTGGAATGAGTCCTCCCCACAAGAGCAGCCCCCTCATGAGTAAGGTGTGGGGGAGGCTGTGGTGGAAAGGGTGGGGTCCTCATTGGAGGCCTTCTTGGGGGAAGGCAAGCAGTCCACACCCTCAGCCTGAACGCCAACACAAAAGGCCCACACAGCAGCCACCAGAAGCTTCTTCCCTTTATTTTAGTTTATTAATAGGATACAGAGTGCAGGCACTTACAGTGGTCAACCCGAGCGAACAGTGAGCGAGGTCTGCTCAGAGAGTGGCCACCGGGGGCCCGCCCCATGTAGGAGGCCAGGGTAGGAGCCAAGGGGCTCCCAAAGCCTCCCAACCCACTCAGCCCTCAACCCAGGCCACTCTGGGGACCCAGGAGGAGGAGGAGGGGTGGAGGGAGGGGAAGAGAGAGCGAGGCCAGCGGAGCTGAGGGTTCCAGACCTGGCAAAGGCACCTCTGGCAGCCAAGGCTGGGCCGTGCAGTTAATACGGCCAAGAAAGGAATATGTACAACGTGGGCAGGGCGGGCAGCACTGGAGCGGCTCCTGTCTTGCCACCAGGAGCTCCCACTGCTGAGATGTGGACACATTCCTTGCACCCCAGCAAGGACTAAGCGTACAGGCGCCTTTGGTGCCCAGATTCCAGAAGGCCTGGTCTACTCAGGCTTTCTAGGCCTGAGAAGCCCCTGGGTGAGTCCCTGTTATACCAGCCGGGATCCCTTGTTCAAGATGGTGCTCAGGGTCCAGTTTCCTCCTCTGCTACCTCAGGCCTCATCCCCCAAAGTGCAACACCCAAGTTCCCCCCATACTGAGGATCCAGGGCCCCTCAGTGCTATGTCCAGCTGGGGGTAGGGGCCAGGCCCGCCCCCGGCCAGGCCAGGGTTAGGAAAGACTCAGGGAGCCTGGGCCTGGCATGGGGATGAGAGGGCCAGGGGCGGCGGAGGGGCCCAGATCAACAAAGCTCCTGCACTGAGGGTGCACAGGGAGCCCTCGAGAAAATGCCCCTGCAGCCTAGTCGAGCAGGGAAGGCTCGGATGGGCGGATAATGGTGGGCCGGCTGGGCGCAGCCGGGGGTCTTCTGCTGCAAAGAGAATAAAGACAGGGAGGGGGAGATGGCAGTGAGGCTGGAAGCAGGGTAATGAGGACCCAGGCCCCACCACCACCCCCTCCCAGGTTGCTGCCCTTTGCTAGATGCTCTGAAGGCGGCCAGGAATGAGTCTGTCAAGCCTAGGCGTTGGTAGCCTGCAGTCACTCACTTGCTGTGTGACCCTGGGTAGTCCCCCACCCGCCCTGGACCTCGTGTTCCTCACAGGACAAGTGGGGAGAAGAGAGCTTGGCCTGCAAGGTGGGGAGAGGCAGGGCAGGGTTATGCCCTGACTGATGTGTGTCCTCAGTAAAGAAGCAAAGGCCAGGGGAAGAGGCCCCATGTGAGGGTCCCAAGCTGTGTGGCAGAAGACAGGCCTGCAGCCGTGGAGTCATCTGACTCCGGAACTTTGGGCAGTTGACTTGGCCTCTCTGGGCCTCAGTTTTCCCACCAGTCAAATGGAGATGCCAGTGACTCCTCTACTCCCTGCAGGGTTCAGGCCAGTGGCACTAGATGGTAGGCAACCAGGGGGCCAGCCTTACCTGGGCACTCCGGGGGGGATGCCGGGTGGAATCCGAGCGGGCCGAGACGGGATCTGAGGCGGGGCCATGAAGGGGTCATTATTGGCAAACACGCTCTGGGGTATGGGCCGGGATGGGATGGGAGGCGCTGAGAAGGAGGCTGCTGGCCCCACCGGCACAGGCATCAGGGGAGGCCCTGGAGTGGGGCCCCTCACTGCTGGGGGCCTTCCTGGGGGGTGCACGCTGGACACAGGTCGCCGCTGCGGAATGGGGCTGCGGAAGAAAGAGGGTATGAGCTGGAAATAGTGGGCAGGAACACCAGCCATGCCCATTAGACACAGAAGCCAGAGGTGGGCTGGGGCTGCTGACCCCAATGGCCTCCTCTGTAATGGGCTGGGACAAGCTACGACTCAGGGAGATATGAGTGAACGCCTGGTCCTAGACAAGGGGCAGTGCAAGTCGACTGGGATCCTCTGCTCACCCCCAAACCTGCTAGAAATGGCCACCCTCCCACCCCAGACCTACCTGTCCTTGGCTAAGGGCTCCTTTTTCCCTCTGACCTCAGTTCCACAGACTTTTACTCTCACTGGCTCTGCTCGGGCCTCCCCACCTCGGTGCTTCCTCCAATCCACCCTCCATAGTTGCAAATCCTACCAGAGCTTAGCTCTGCCCTATAAATCATGATCAGATGCTTCCAGAGGCCACAAGTCCCTGTCCCAGGTGCCCCACAAGCTATCCCAGGGCCTGAGCACCTGCTGCTCCCCCTCCTGGATGCTGTGTCCTCTCCCTACCTAACTCTGGTTCCCTGAGGTCTCGGCAGAGCTGGCACTTTCTATGAGATTTCCTTGACCTATCTTCTCCTACCACTTGCCTGACCTTCTACTGATTAGATTTCCCTGCCTGATGCTCTGAATTACCCACCCACACCAGAGTCTCATTTACATCCACAGCTCAGGGGTGGTCAGAGGGGAGGAGATTTGCTGGTTATGCCCTTTCTGCCCCTCCAGATCCTGTTCCACCCACCATTCTTAGCCATGCTCTGTGCCTGAGGAGGCTGACCACCCTGGCCAGTGTCACGCGGGCCTCTTCCCCTCTCTGGCTTCCATTTAGGCTGAAGCAATGGAAGGCATCAAGAGACAGTCTGGCCTTTAACCCTTCTCCCAGTCTCTTCAGGCTGAGGTGGGCTAGCAGTTCCCACTGTGACTAGCCCTGGGCGCTATGCCATCCGGATTGGGCCCCTTTACCCTGCCCACTCGTGGGCTCGGAGAGGAGCTAGGAACCTGCAGGCAGCAGCCTCTGCAGCAAGCGGGTGACCAGGCCTTACAGACCTGTGGTTGCTGGTGCTCTGGAGCCAGGTGTCATCAACGGGTGGAGGCACAGGTGTGGACACAGTGCTGGTGCTGATGTCCCCTATTATGTTGAGCGCTTCCTTCAGTGCGTGGTACATGCGCAGCATGTCGTCTCGCCGCTGGGCCTGCTCGGCTGACTCCTCCATGAGGCTGGTCTGGTCTGCCGATGAGTACAGGTAGGCCAGCAGCTCGTGGTGGATGAAGGCCTTCGTCTGGGACAAGGATCAGAGCGGTCAGAGCTTCCCACCAACCGACCATGCACTCAGTTGACCACTGAGACTGGCTGGAAAAGCATTCACCACAATAGAAAGGGCTTTCTTTGTCTTTCATTTTATTTTAAATATTTTTATTGATTTGAGAGAGGGAGAGGAAGAGAGAGATAGAAACATCAATGATGAGAGGGAATCATTGATTGCCTCCTGCACGTTGGACCAAGCCCGCAACCCAGGCGTGTGCCCTTGGACCAGAATTGAACCTGGGAGCCTTGGGTCCACAGGCCGATGCTCTTTCCACCGAGCCAAACCGGCCAGGGCGCTTTGTCTTTATCGTAGAACATGTATGATGTTTAAAACACAGGTGAGAGGCTCAAGGGAACCAAGAAGGAGAGAACCAAGATGGCAGCGTAGGTAAATGCCGGCCACTATTAGCAGCCTCCCACAACCACATCCAAATTACAACTAAAATACAGAACCATCATTCAGAGCTGCCTGAAATATGGCTGAATGGAAGTCCTACAACTAGAGAAGAAAGCACATTGAGACTGGCAGGAGGGCAGACACAGACAATAGGATGGTGAAGGCGGGGGCGGGCTAGAAGGGGACAATGGGGGGGAAAAGAGAACATATATAATACTTTCAACAATAAAGATTTTAAAAAGATATTTTTATTGATTTCAGAGAGGAAGGAAGGGGGAGAGAGACAGATTGAGCCCTAAACTGGGGTATTGAATGTGACCTTCTGACTCATAGGTTAGATGTTCAACCACTGAGCCACGCTGGTTGGGCATGTGCCCTTGACCGGAACTGAACCTGGGACTCTTTGGTCCACATGCCAACACCCTATCCACTGAGCCAAACCGGCTAGGGCCCATATATGCATTTTTTTTTAAAAATATATATTTTATTGATTTTTTACAGAGAGGAAGGGAGAGGGATAGAGAGTTAGAAACATCGATGAGAGAGAAACATCGATCAGCTGCCTCCTGCACACCTCCTACTGGGGATGTGCTCACAACCAAGGTACAT